AGAAAAAAGATTGATTATTAGATGTACTAAGATTGTGAGAGATCTCATACAATCAAGAATTCAACCAGAATGGATGGTACTTTCAGTATTACCAGTATTACCTCCTGATTTAAGACCTATTGTTGAACTCAGAGAAGGGTCAATTAATTACATCAGACTTAAACGAACTCTATCGCAAAGTTTTATTTAGGAATGAAGAACTATTAATGTGGTTATCATATCAAGGTACTATTGTACTAGCAGGTTTGGTTGCACGTCTTCAAAGAGTCTCTTTACAGCGAGCTGTTGATGCTTTATTAGCAAATGGAATGGGATCATCGACTTTTCGAGATAATAACAAAAGAGTATACAAATCTTTTTCATCTTTAATTAAAGGGAAAAAGGGAAGATTCCGGGAAAATTTGCTAGGTAAACGTGTAGATTATTCTGGACGTTCAGTCATAGTAGTAGGTCCTTTATTAGCTTTGCATCAATGTGGTCTGCCTAGAGAAATGGCCATAGAACTCTTTCAACCTTTTATGATTCGAGAGTTAATTGCTAGACAATTAGCTCCAAATCTACGAGCAGCAAAGAGTATGATTCAAAACAAGCAACCAATTGTATGGAAAGTACTTCAAGCAGTTGTTGATAATCGTTTTATTGTTTTAAACAGAGCACCTACATTACATCGATTAGGAATACAAGCCTTCAAGCCTGTACTTGTGCGGAGAACGTGCAATTCAGTTACATCCTTTAGTATGTGCTGGATTTAATGCGGATTTTGATGGTGATCAAATGGCAATTCATGTACCTTTGGCTTGGAAGCTCAAGTGGAAGCTCGGTTATACTAATGTGGTCTCAAGCAAATCTTCTTTCTCCAGCTACAGGGAAGAGCAGTTGCTGTACCAAGTCAAGATATGCTTCTTGGATTATATGTTTTAACTTTAGAAGGTGCTTTGGGTATATATGGTAGTAGAAAATTAGATCGCGAATATTCAGTAAAACAAAATTCTGGATATACCACTCCTGTCTTTTATGATTATGATGATGTATTAACATTTTTTGCATCAAACAAAAAATACGCCATTTTCATTTTTATGGTTACGATGGCAACCAAATTATGTACCTGTCATTGCATCTCGCGAAGGACCTATTGAAATCCAATACGATTCTATGGGCCAAACAACAAGTATATATGAACATTCTCAAATACGTAGTAATCGAGAAGGCCTTACAGCTAGGTATATTTTAACTACTCTTGGACGTGTTATCTTTAATCAACAGATTCAACAAGCCATACAAGAACATATTGAATATACTAGACGATAAATTTTTTTCTACCATTCATAAACAATGAAATCTTACAAAAGAATCTTGAATACTATTGCATTCATCTACTAAACAATAAAATATTATCTTACTTATATATTCCTATTGAATATTCAATGATTGTCATCGCGATAATTGCATGATTTGTTGTTATTCACAACAAAGAATTCAATGGTTATGGCTCAGGCTTATACCCTTTTCTTATGACTTAAATCATAAATTATGAACAATTAACAGGTTATAAGTGAATTTATTCCATGTTTATCATTGGTACCAAAAGCATTTTTCAAATGATATTGAGTTCCGTTTAACAAATTAACTCAAAGTGTCATTCTTTTTACTTATTCAATATGGAGGTACTGACTTATGGCACGGCTCACAGCAGAGTATGGAGACATCATTTTCTACAATCAAGTGATGGACAAAGGTGCCATGAGACAATTGATTGGCAGATTGATGACATACTTAGGAAGCGAATGTACAGCACAAATTTTGGATCAACTCAAGACTTTAGGATTTAGACATGCCACTCAAGCAGGTATTTCATTAGGGATTGATGATTTATTAACAACTCCTTCAAAAACTTGGTTAATACAAGATGCAGAGCATCAAACATATACATCTGAAGAACAATATCGACGTGGATCTATTCATGCAGTAGAAAAATTACGTCACGTAGTAGAAACATGGCACACAACGAGTGAATACTTAAAACGGGAAATGAGTTCTCATTTTAGAACTACAGATCCATTAAATCCGGTCCATATGATGTCTTTCTCTGGTGCTAGAGGCAATGTATCACAAGTACACCAATTAGTAGGTATGCGAGGATTAATGTCAAATCCTCAAGGGAATATTATTGATCTTCCTATACAAAGTAATTTAAGAGAAGGTTTATCTTTAACCGAATATATCATATCTTGTTATGGTGCACGAAAAGGAGTAGTAGATACTGCTGTCCGTACTGCTGATGCAGGATATTTGACACGTCGTCTTGTCGAAGTTGTGCAACATATAGTAGTTCGTAATCCTGATTGTGAAACTTTTGAAGGGGTACGATTGCGTTCTATACAAGAGCGAAAAACATCTAGTCCTTTATTGTCTTTACAAGATAGATTAGTAGGACGCATTCTTGCACGTGATGTTTATCTAAATGGTCGTTGTATTGCAGTTCGCAATCAAGACTTGGCTCCAGATATAGTAAATCGTTTGGTTCTTTCTCACAATGAAATATATGTACGATCTCCTTTGAGTTGCAAAAGCATGCCTAGAGCATGTCAAATGTGTTACGGATGGGATTTAAGTTGTGGCAATTTAGTAGAACTTGGTGCTGCGATAGGAATTATTGCAGGTCAATCTATAGGAGAACCTGGAACTCAATTAACTTTACGCACTTTTCATACTGGAGGTGTTTTTACTGGAGATGTTGCAGAGCATGTACGAGCACCATTTAATGGTGTGGTTCATTTTTATACAGAAACTCTTCAAGCTACACGTAATCGTCATGGACGACCTGCATGGACTTGTCCCGAAGCTTTATCAGTTATCATAGAAGATGGCACAAATAAAAGACATATCTTAAATGTACCTCAATATAGTTTACTTCTTGTCAGAAATCATCAATATGTACAAGCTAGACAAATTATCGCAGAAGTTCGTGCAAGTACAGCTCCTTTAAAAGAAAAAATAGAAAAAGATATATATTGTGGTATAGAAGGAGAAGTATTCTATGAATACACAGGTATTCACGCATATTCTTTAAAACAACGAAAGCTTCTGGCATTAAGTTCTTTTCAAACCCGTCTTAGCTTATGGTTAGAATTCACTTCTCTTAGTACTTATTTAAGTCCGATTGTCGATAAAACTAGTTATATATGGATTTTTTCAGGTAGATTGACTGAATTTTCAGGTATTAATCTTTCTTTCTTATATAAAGTACAAGATTATATTCAAGCTGACTTACCTATAGGAAAAAACAATTATGTTGTTACTCAATACCAGTCGTTTTTTACTCCTTTTGAATATCGACAACGATTTTCTTTTCATACCTCAAAAATTCGAGAAAAGATTTTTAATAAACATACTGGTTTTTTATATCTTACAAGTGCAGATGATAAATGGATTCTGACTTTATCGGCAGTAGATCAATTTCACATAAGCATTGATGATTATGATAAGACATTTGTAACAAATGCGTATCAATATGCATACGGAAATGCTCCGTTAGAATATTATAAAAAAATTTCTAATGATCTTTTTTCTTATACGAAGAAACATATGGGAAATAAGCAAAAGATTCTTCTTATATCTTATTTATCCAATTTATGTGCTGATGTAGGTTTAGTAGGCCAATTTCATACTTTATTCGAAAGACTTAGTATTTCATCTTTAAAAACATTTAGTAATTTGATTCAATATGATTTGGCAAATAAATACGAACTCTTATTTTTTCAGGATTTTTTCCCTAAATTCCAAGGTTTCTCAAGAAATTTTGTTTGCAATACAAATTTTTTTGTTGACCAAAATGATAGCATTAATAAAATAAAGAACTCGGTTCTTTCTCTCTCTTTTCTACATTGGATGACTTCACTTTGTTTCAATAAACTTCTTACCAAACCACAACCGCTGTTAGCACAATCTATATGTAAAGGTGTAAGTACATTAGCTTATGGTATGTTGCCTGAATCAGGACACATAGTAGCTGTGTCTGAAAGTTCTATAACTATTCGATTAGCCAAACTTTATTTAGTACCTGCAGGAACTGTAGTACATGCTTATCATAAACAGGTGATCCACGAAGGAGATACTTTAATTACTTTTGCATACGAAAGGCTGAAAGCAAGTGATATTATTCAAGGACTTCCAAAAGCTGAACAACTTTTAGAAGCTAGGATAGGAAATCAAGTAGTAGTTCATTTGCATATGCGTTTCGAATATTTAGTAGGTCGTATTAAAGAAAATCTTCGTAATTACGTTGGTAGTCTTGCCCAGATGGATCTAATGTTATCTCAAGCATCTGTCAATAGAGCGAGGAAAGCTTTAGAATATAGTCAAATCGAAACTGTAGATCAAATTCAAAAAGTCTATTTATCTCAAGGAGTATATATTTCAGATAAACATGTAGAAGTTATTGTAAGACAAATGAGCTCTAAAGTTGTCATTGTTGAAAATACTGATCTTACAGCTTTTTCACCCAAAACAGTTATAAGAACGGCGTGTCCTTATGATGCCATAGGAGTCTTTTTCCCTGGCGAATTAATGGAGATTGCAAAAGCAGAAAGAATGAATCGTGTACTTCATAAACCTTTACCCTGTAAACCTGTATTACTTGGAATTACCAAAGCTTCACTTAATACAAATAGTTTTTTATCAGAAGCTAGTTTTGAAAGAACAATTACAGTTCTTAGTAGATCTGCAATTCAGGGGAGAATGGATTGGCTGAAAGGATTGAAAGAAAATGTCTTATTGAGTAACATGATACCAGCAGGTACAGGTTGTCAACAGGTTAATCTAGAAGCTATTCTTTATCAAAAAAAGCAATTCCATTTTAAAAATAATTACAATGGGGTATTAAATTCAAGATATCAGCATATTTTTTGTCTATACAAACCATTAATAAAAAAAAGAGATTGGATGCATACATATTTAATTAATATGTCCCAATCGAAAGAGAATGAAGAAAGTAAAAATACCTTTTTCAATCATCTTCCGAAGAATTCGGTGTCTATAAAAAAAATCAAAGAATATAAGATTTTATCACCCTTAAACTTTTTAATAAAAAAATAGAAAATAAAAGAATTCACAAAGTAGAAAAAAGTATTATTCCTTTTTATATGGACATTTTTGTTTTGTTTAGAAATATGACTTCTATCTCAAATAATCAAATTCTCTTTCTCTAAATAATAATAATATATTACAAATATTCCTATATTCTTTTGACCACTAGGAAATAAGCGAATTTTTTCTTATTATTCTTATCGTTCAATTAATAGTTGAACTGTAATGAAATTCTCATGTCATATAAAAAATTCTTAAAGAATTTTCTGTTGATTATAATGTTTTCTTTTAACTAGTCCGAAACCATGTAAAAAAACGTAATACAGATTTTCCTGAGAATAGAGAATAGATAATAAATAGTAGATACTATTTTCATGGAGATCAAACTTATTAGCGCTTGATTAATCAAAAATTTTTTCTTATGAAAGAAGGACAATGGAATATTAATTTAGAAGATATGATGGAAGCTGGGGTTCATTTTGGTCATCAAGCTCGGAAGTGGAATCCCAAGATGGCACCCTATATTTTTACAAAACGAAGAGGTATTCACATTCTTCATATTTTTAAAACAGCACGCCTATTATCTGAAGCATGTGATTTGGTAGCTAATGCAGCATATAACGGCAAGCAATTTCTTATAGTTGGTACTAAATATCAAGCTGCTGATCTTGTAGCTTCAGCTGCTCAAAGGGCACGATGCCATTATGTGAATCAAAAATGGTTAGGGGGTATGTTAACTAATTGGTCAACAATTGAAACCCGACTAACAAGATTCAAACAACTGGAAGAAAAAGAAAAAGCAGGGATACTTAATCAACTTCCAAAAAAAGAAGCAGCTGTGCTTAAAAGACAACTTAATCAATTACGTAAATATTTAGATGGCATTAAGTATATGACACGATTGCCAGACATAGTTATCATTATTGATCAACAACAAGAAGCTACTGCTATTCAAGAATGCATTAAATTAGGTATCCCAACTATTTGTTTAGTAGATAGTGATTGTGATCCTGATTTAACTGATATGCCTATTCCAGCAAATGATGATGCTAGGTCTTCTATTCGATGGATACTAGATAAATTAACTAATGCAATTAAAGAAGGGCGAAATAGAAAGAATTGATTCTATTAAAGAATTCTATTATATATATTTTGGAAATTAATTGAAATATCTTTACTCTTTCGATCTATTTATTGCCATGAAACAATCTGCTTTTTCATTCTCTTCTGGTTTACCTTAGATATGCAAAAGATTTATCTACATCAAAAGATGATAGCAAGCAAGTCAATAATAGTCTATGTATAAATAGTTCTTATATATACTATTTATTACATGTTCTAAAACAAAACCTCAGATATGGGAAGCACGAAGTGCTTTCACAGCCATTGGTTCGAAGGAGCATTGATTACAATAAATCTATTAGAATTGAAGTGATGGTTATTTTCAATTGAAATAAAGCCATGTAAAAGTTCAAGCTAGATAATTGCTAAAAAAATATTCAAAAACGAAATTATTTAAAGCTTATAACAAAATTATTAACAAAGCAATATGTATACCACAGGGGTTTCTATTGACAGTTTCAATGCTTTGTATCAGATTTCTGGAGTAGAAGTTGGCCAACATTTATATTGGCAAATAGGTGATTTTCAAGTTCACGCACAAGTGTTAATAACTTCTTGGATTGTTATTGCTATTCTACTAGCAGTAGCTTTTTTGGGTACTCGTAAATTAGAGACTGTACCTAATGGTCCTCAAAATTTTGTAGAATATGTTTTGGAATTCATCCGAGATTTAGCTAGAACACAGATTGGAGAAGAAGAATATCGTTCATGGGTACCATTTGTTGGTACTATGTTCTTGTTTATTTTTGTTTGTAATTGGTCTGGTGCTCTTTTCCCTTGGAGAGTTATTGAACTTCCACACGGAGAGTTGGCTGCACCAACCAATGACATTAACACAACCGTAGCTTTAGCTCTTTTAACCTCAGTTGCATATTTTTATGCCGGTTTGCATAAAAGAGGATTAAGTTATTTTGGTAAATATATCCAACCTACTCCAGTTCTTCTTCCAATTAATATATTGGAAGATTTCACAAAACCTCTTTCATTGAGTTTCCGTTTATTTGGAAACATACTTGCAGATGAATTGGTTGTTGCTGTACTAGTTTCTTTAGTACCTTTAGTAGTTCCTATTCCTATGATGTTTCTAGGTTTGTTCACAAGTGCTATCCAAGCATTAATTTTTGCTACTTTAGCAGCAGCTTACATAGGTGAATCTATGGAAGGACATCATTAACTTCTTTTTTTTGTCTAAAAAAGAAGTATGATTCCTTGTTAATGATCTTTCTATTACTATATAGATCACTATCTTCAAGAAATTATCTATTTGACTTATGTTGCTAGCATGTTAGCATGCTAGCAATATAAGTCAAATAGATATCGATGTATACAGAATGGCCACTGTCTTGTATGCGTTTCTTTTCTGAAGAAATATTTCGTGAGTTATCTAAGTATTTAATCTATCTTTTTGGCATCATTATCAATGCTTTTTTCTTAATGATTCAAATTTGTGTTTTTGTTTAAAACTTTATTATATAAGCAATTTCTTGGGGATTGAAGATATACTAACATATTTTTGTTAACAACTATTTTGATTGTGTAGAATAGTTAGAGAAAAAAAATCTCTTAAAATCCCTTATATTTTTTCATTGCAAGGTCTTTCGGGGAATGTATGATAAATGATTTCCCAATCGATTACTCTATTTCTGATATTAAGTATTGATTTATTTGCTATATTTTTTTCCACTACTATTTATAATATATAGTTAAGAATCTAGTAAAAAAAAATATTGTGTTGTATCAAGCAGTTCATTGTTTAATTTTCTTATTGACTAGATACTTACTACAGTTTTTAACACAACTGAAAAGTATAGTTGCTTTATAATTCTAATATACTTTATTAATATGGCAGAAATGTTATTATTTGAAGCTCTTCGTGAAGGTTTACAAGAAGAGATGGATAGAGATCCCAGAGTATTAGTTATGGGAGAAGATGTAGGACACTATGGGGGATCTTACAAGGTAACAAAAGGATTGGCTGAAAAGTACGGTGATTGGAGACTCTTAGATACACCTATTGCAGAAAATAGTTTTACTGGGATAGCGATAGGTGCTGCTATGACAGGTTTAAGGCCTGTAGTAGAAGGAATGAACATGGGTTTTTTGTTATTAGCTTTTAATCAAATTGCTAACAACGCTGGTATGTTACATTACACTTCAGGAGCAAATTTTACTATACCTATAGTAATTCGTGGACCTGGAGGAGTGGGAAGACAATTAGGTGCAGAACATTCTCAACGACTAGAGTCTTACTTCCAAGCTGTTCCAGGATTACAAATGGTTGCTTGTTCAACTCCAACAAATGCTAAAGGATTAATCAAGTCAGCTATTAGAAGTGAAAATCCAGTTATTTTGTTCGAACATGTTCTTTTATACAATCTGAAGGAAGTTCTTCCAGATGAAGAGTATTTAATTTGTTTAGAAAAAGCAGAAGTAGTTCGTCCTGGAAAAGATATAACTATTCTTACATACTCACGTATGAGACATCATGTCATGCAAGCTGCAAAGAGCTTGGTTTATAAAGGCTATGATCCTGAAATTATAGATATTGTATCTCTTAAACCTTTTGATTTAGGAACTATTGCTACGTCCGTTCGTAAGACTCATAAAGTCTTGATAGTTGAAGAATGTATGAGAACCGGAGGTATTGGTGCTTCTCTTAGGGCCGCTCTTATGGAACACCTATTCGATTATCTTGATGCTCCTATTGCATGTCTTTCATCACAAGATGTACCTACTCCTTATAGTGGTCCTTTAGAAGAATTAACAATTATTCAACCACCTCAAATCGTACAAGCTGTAGAACAAATTTGTGGACTAGAAAATTGATTCTAAAAAGAATCATTGTCATTGGTTTTTATGATGCTTTAGAAAGAAAAATCATATCATAATGACAACCCAAGTCAAGTTTAAGTTCTTTTCGTGAACATTTGAAGACATACATAATATTGATTCTGCTAGATCATAATAGAATAAACCAGAAAGTAAATTACTTTCTGGTTTATTCTATTCTATAGTATTAATGGATTTCATCAAGTAAAAAAAGATCTTCGTTAGAAGATCTTACATAGAACAAATTAAACTAAATAGATTTTGCAGTAAAAAATGAAGACTTTAAGAAACCAAATGCTTTCTTTGAGAATTTTTTCTCTATATATTCATCAAAAAAATTTGTTTTGAATTTTCTTTACATTTGACAAAACTATTTCGATCCATCCAGAGCGTGATTTATTTTGTAATATAATCACGTAAAGATATAACAAGAAAAAAAAAGATGGATAGTACCATAAAAGTTGTATGTACCCAAACACAGGTCGAAATCCTCCTTGCTTTAATTAATTGTATGCATTTGTTCAAAAACTCCTGCTCTCTGTAAAATGTGACTGACTGTATCTGTAGGTTGAGCACCATTTCGTAAGAAAGTTAGGATTGACGGAATATCTAATTGAGTTTGATCCTTTCTAGGGTCATAAAATCCTACTTCTTTAAGAGCTTTTCCTTCTCTGCGACATCTTGCATCAATAGCTATAATTCTGTAAGTAGGTTATTGGGATAGGTAAAGTACTTCCCCCCCATGAACCGAACATGAATTTTTCAAGTCATACGGCTCTAGTAATGGATACCATTTTTCTCCTCACCAAAAACGAAATCCTTTATAGATAATGAGGTTTTTTTTTCTAATGGACATTTCATTTCATGACCAAAACGTTTCTTTATAAACAACATTACATATATCTCATTTCTATTTACAGAACCTATGATGTTAGTATAAATTTTAATTAGTTAAACCTAATATCATCCCATATTTCTTGAGTAGTCTTTTTTCCACAATTAAGTGGATTTCACTCGTTCACACACATTGGTT